AGCCTCTACAAGAAAAACAGCTCTGCTGACAGCTTGGTTCAGGACTTCTGATTTCCAGAACTACATAAAATAATAAAATCTAAGCTGGGCGCTGGTGGCTCATGCCTGTAATCCTAGCTACTCAGGAGGCTGAGATCTGAGGATCATGGTTCAAAGCCAGCTCAGGCAGGAAAGTCCATAAGACTCTTATCTCCAATAAACTACCAGAAAACCAGAAGTGGCACTGGCTCAAGTGGTAGAGCACTTGCCTTGAGTTGAAGAGCTGAGGGACAGCGCCTAGGCTCAGAGTCCAAGCCCCACGACTGAAGAAACAAAATAACATTTGTACTACCTGTACAGCAGCCATAGAGAAGAATACAGGGATTCAGGACCCTCACCTGAAAAAGTACATGTTGGTTCAGGGTAGCAAGTCTCTTCAAGTATGGGCCACTGATGGATGAGCCCTGATATAAAAACCCAAGGCCTTTTCCCTAGATAAAATGAGAAAAGGGCAGTGACGACATCAGGCTCACTTCTGGCTGCATTTAAACAACAACCCAGCTCTAACTGTCCAACCAGATGGTTACTTTTCCTCATGTCCAGAAGCCATAAGGAAAGCAGTCTGGGCAGAAGCAGGCTGCTCCCATCTTTCTGCCCCAAAGCCCACCCAGTAGGTTCTCAAGCCTCCTGCTGTAGCCCAAGTATTGCCTTTGCATTTCAGGCAGGAAGGTTAGGAAGGAGGAAAAGAAAAGCTTCCTTATCTCCAGGCACCGGTGGCTCATGCCTGTAATCCTAGCTACTCAGAAGGCTGAGATCTGAGGATCACGGTTCAAAGCCAGCACAGGCAGGAAAGTCTGTGAAACTCTTTGTAAGGTCCATTCCAGGATGGTGAGCAGACTCCACCTTCCTCACAGCAAAGTCTCCACCCAGTACCTGCATTACCTAGGCACCTGGCACACCTGGAAGAGGTCACATCTGAATTTGATGTGGTTACACCTTTCTCCACCCATACCCTAGATAAGGCCTAGCCCAGGCCTAGACGCCCTCTTTTCTAGCTCTTTCCCAGCTATCTCTTTCCCAGCTCTCTCTTCTCTTGCCCAGCTCTCTTTCCCAGGTCTTTTGCCAGTGGAGTGCCAACCCTGCCTGGTCCCAGCAGGTCTACTAAATAAACCTACCCCTTACCTGAGTACCATGTGCATGGTGCTGTTCTTACTCGGGTACCTCTTTTTAAAAACCTAACATATGGGTGAAAAAAGAAAAAAAAAAAAAGAAAAAGAAAAGAAAATAAATAAATAAATAAATAAAAACCTAACATAAATGGGGCCGTGACTCGGATAAAGGGCTTAATGTCAGGATAGGTGGGATTCCTCTCTGTTTTTTTCCTCTTTTTTGTTTGTTTGTTTTTCTCTTTTTGCTCTGAGGAATACCACAGTTCTGACGGCCTTTTGCGAACCGGTCTGTCTGCTGCGGACACAGCACATCAATACCATTGCTGCCTTCACATCCATGTCCACACCACTTCTCTACTCTGGTAATGAAACTACTCTCTATGGCTCTCTGTTGCTCAGTCTCTGTCCACACATGGCGCCACGCCAGAGAGCTCCTATGGCCTTTAGCTGAAAGGCCGGTCACCTCTGAAGCCGAGGACGCTTGGTTTTGGGGGCTTGGCCATTTCTCTCGAGAGGGCTCTGGGGGAAGTTGGGACGCCACTTCTGTCTGGTTAGCTCTCCTTCACTCACCAAACTGACTCTCCTACACATTTAATGGGGTGCTGCGAGTCAATTTTTATGCCATTCTCAGTTTTAGACAGTTTTTGCCTCTGCAATGGTACATGGGCAGAAGTCTGTTTACTTTTAGGCTCTCTTTGCTCTCTCTGCTAATCATGTCCAACTTTCTCTCCTTTTTTTCTACAACTTTTTGGCATGTGCCCTGAAAAGTGCAATGCAGGCTGGTCCCAGGGACACCCCCCCCTCCCCCCCTCTAGGTTCCCTCTCAAAGGCTAGCCAATGTAGGCTTGATTTATTTGTTCAGGGTTTCTTTGCATTTTTTCAGAAATTCACCATCTTGGCCACATGGTGGGTTAAGGGTTTGGCCCCATCTGACCCTTAACCTTCCACCAAACTTACTACTCCATCTAATCTAAGGTGCCTTGCTAACAAGTTGCTCTTTCACAGGCCCTGGTAACTGAGGCCTAACCATCTGATGTGCTTTGTTAGCAAAGATGTCTAAACGTTGTCAAAATTTTAGGTTTTGAGTTTTGCCTTTTTTGTTTTGTGTTGTGTATTATTCTGGTACTGACTACATGACTCTAAAATATTGGGCATATCTATGCTAAGATTCTCACATCCAATGAGTTTTGTCATTTCAGAACATTTGTTGGCACTTCTTGATAAGAACCAGGTAAACTCTACATATTCTACTTGATCTCCTTGTTGCTTTAATTGGAAATAATAAAGGGCTTTAATGGCAAAGATTGCAGTTCAAAGCCAGCCCAGGCCGAAAAATCCCTAAGACTCCATCT